TATAAATAGACATATATAAATACCTATACACATTCATATACACAACCATATATATATATATATATATATGTGTGTGTGAGTATGTATAAGTATATGTATACGATTTTGTTTGTGTGTTTTTATATATAATTTATAAGTTTATCACTATGTGTATGTAAATGGATTTATGCATGAAACAGTCCGAGGTTACTTCAAATCCACATACAAATGCGCTATATCATATCAGTTCAATCTTGCACTATATCGTATCAGTTTAGGCAAGCACTAACATATCCTGTATCTCTCTCTCCGTTACAGACGACAACACTAACTGGGCGCAACCCAACGCACTCGGAACTGAAATTAAACGACAGATCGCGCCAGTAGCAGAACCAATCACAGAGCATAACATGACACCCTCACAGTCTGATAGCGTTGCCATGGAAACGCATCATACTAGCGCGTACTCGGCCACGGATGATAGCAATGATAGCTTCGCTTCTGCTCAGGAGCAGCCCATGGCGGTAAGTGCGTCCCGGTATTATACAAGCGGGCTGGATACCGGGACCAGCTTGGCACACACGGACTCTGAACGAGATATTGAGGATGCGGCGATGTTGCTGCTGAATGCGTCGCATATACAGAAGAGTGAGAGCACGGAAAACGGAGGTAGGGGTGGGGCCAAGACACCCGTGAATGGAAATGGGGCGACGCCGTCACAACAGACAATTAACCAGGAACCCGAGCAGACCCAGGCGAGTGCCGGTACACAGGTGAACCAGGCCACACAGCCGGCCCAGAAAAGGGGGCACAAACCGGTACACATACGCCAACGGGTGAGTTTAAGTAAACGGTCGATCAGCTCGATGGCTCCAGCATACTCGCCCTATGCCGCTGCCCACGCTAACAGACAGACTACCACGAGCCCAGGCGCAGGGGCACAGGCAACCCCGACAGCACCGGACAACGGGCAATTTGTGGGTGTACCACGGGATGGGAAGGGGGATGGGGTACACACACACTCACTTAACACAACACCCCAACATCAGCCACAACAGCAACAGCAGCAACAACGACAACAACAACAACAGCAGCAACAGCAGCACCAGCAGCCGGGATCAGTTCAGCAGACACAGGTAGCACCACCCGCCCCCACACAAAGTGATACACAGCCGCACACCCAGGCGAGTTCGAGTCCACTAACCACGGCAAACGCCTCGGGAGACCCTGCGGCAACCCAGCCCCCAAATACACCCCTCTCTGGCACAGCAAAGGCCCAGGCCGAGACGATCCAGACACAACCACGAACGTATGGCTTACACCCACACGTACTCGCGCAGGCGTTTGCACAGAAGCCGTATGCACACAAACACATGCGCGCTCCAGTGCCAGGTATGCTGGCAATGGGCGCACCCCCCCCACACACGCAGGCGGCATCTGCTGCGGCTGCGAAAGCCAAAGGTAGGTTGCGGATGGTGCTTATGCGCCATTTAAATGTTAT